CTAAGGTGTTTGCTTTTGCTATCTCTTTTCCCCCTTTGTTATTTTCCGCATGAATTTCGATGTAAATTTATTTGTTGATCTCTCGTTTGTTGCCTTCTTTTAATTACTGAAGCCATCAAAATGTATCTATTTTGTATGGTTGGACAATGTATATATTATATCTATTATNTNTTATAACTAAGAAATCTAATCTTTGGTTCNGCTGCTACATTATATGTCTGATGTATATGAGATTCAAGTTTCGTTTGCNATGTATTGCTTCCTAATGATNTTTCTTNTTTGTTGTAATTTCATTGATTCATAATCATTCATCAAATGCATCTTTTAAATCACTCGTTGAGGATTATTACGCATGAGGGAGAAATCCTGTTTATTCTTGTCAACACTACAAGAAGAAATTACTGATTTAGACAGTGATGACTCTTAACTGCGAAGTCTGCGATGAACCATAAAACTCATATTAAAACGTTTTGTGAATTTTAACCAAANTTTTAGGATTAACAAAAACTTAGCAAAATCATCAAATTTAGTTGTTTNNGTTTGGTTTATTATATAAGGATATATATAATTACAATTGAATAGTTATCAAAAGTTTCGCTGTAGCACACAGGTTAAAACCTGAGCCTTAGGGCTCTCATGTTTCCNGGTTCGAAGCCCGNCAGCNNATTATATTTTTGTTTATATAATCTTTTCCGTTTTCAACAACAACGGAGACTGAAGAAGAATCAGGAATCTGCAAAGACTACTACTTAATGCTTTATATTTTTTTTGAATATGGTCCATGCTGAAGGAATCAAAGAGAGTAGTTGTACAAGAATGAGTTGAAGTCTTGAAGTGTAAAGAAGTTTTGGGGCAGATTGTGATGACTGTTTTTTACGAGGTTGATCCAAATCTGATGTTCGGAAACAGAGGGGACATTTCGGAAGCGCTTTTAAGGAAACATGTGAAGGGAAAACAGAGGAGAAGAAGCAGAGGTGGAGTAATGCTTTAGCATATGTAGCAACCATAGCTGGAGAACACTCTCTTAAC